GTTCGGGCGATCCGTGTTGGCGTGGAACGTAGCATTGGCTGGTCTCTCGGCGGTGAGGGCAGACGGCGGTGCAGGGGCGGCCGTCGACGGCGAGAACGCAATCACTTCGTGGCCAGACGAGCCAAAGACGCGGTCGAGGCGCACGCGCTTGTCCCAGATGATCTCGTCGCGCCATCGAAAGTACTGGATCCGGTGCTGCGGGATCGCCGTCTCGTTCTGCGACAAGGTCGAAATGTCGGCCCAATTGAACGCTGCAAAGTTGCGCTCGACCGTGCCGATGAAGCGATCGAGGTACCCGACAATGACCTCGGTTTGCGTGATGCTGTCGTCCCACATGATGCGGTGAATGACGTCTGTCGCTGTGCGCATCGACTTCTTCTCTGCTTTCGGCGACGTCGCTGCGGGCGCTTTTTTCTTCGGCTTGTCGGGCGCGGGCGGCTTGCTGCTGTTACTGGACGACCGACGCGAGAGCGCTGGTGGCGGCGGTTTGTTGTCCTTGGCAGCGTCGCGCTGGGCACGAAGCGAGGCGACGCCAGCGTCGACCATCTCAAAGAGACACACTTGGCCGTGGGCGACAGCCGCGGCACCTGCCGCCTCCATGGCAGCGATGACCTCAGGCATGCGCGCTAGCGTAGCATACTTGTCGTGCAGGCGCGAAATCGAGATGCGCGGGCACATCTTGTCAATCGGGTATGTCGGAGAGCGGGCAAACGCAAACGTGCCGACCGATGGCAGTGCAAGCGTTACGACGCCGTCGTCGGAGGTTGTCGCGGGGGCGTCAAAGATGGCTTCAAGCGCTTCGACTTCATCTTGCTGGATCGTCGAGTAGTCCATCGTCTCGTGTAGTAGTAGCAGTATGCAGCTGACGCGGTGTAAATTGGTATATGCTCCTCAGGTGGTGAGGTTGCCTTTTGACCGTGTGTGAGTGATGGTCGAGCCCTACCTAACATCCAATCGCGGGGTCGTCAAAAACCATCACTTGGAATATCTTGCAAGAAAATGCGAGCACCATGCCGTACAACAAGGTATATTAGAATAAGTATAGTGCAGCAAGCAGAAAGCTTACATTGTATGTACCATGGGCCACCCGTGGGCAATCCTCGGAGCGTCGCAGGTTGTGATGTCGGCTGTCAATGGATGTGTATGTGGTTGTGCAGTGGTTGTGGTACGGATTGTGGCGCTTCACGTCGCCGCTGTTGCAACCCAAGGACCGTGAGCGTCCTTCAGCGGCTGACGGCGATCGACATGCAGAAGTCCCGTTCGACTGCCGTACGCAAATGCACATCACGCAACAACAAGGGTTGCTACAAGCGTCGAAGTATCGGGCTATTGTTGGTATCGACGGTCGTCCTCCGGGTAGGCTGTCTCAAGCCGGTGGCATAACTTGTAGGGGGCTCTCTGGGGAGCTCTATCAAGACCAAACCAAGGGCGTCGCGCGATAGGATCTGCGTCCAAGTGACATAGCTCTGCCTTGTAATGGAGTGCTAGCGATCTGCTTTGACAGACAGAAGCACTAACAACTTGGTCTAAATCACCCAAAGATCAGCTCCCATTCGTACGCCACCAGAGGTGTTGGCGCAACCTCGAACGTCGTCGTATACTAGTACATCGCAAGGTGGTGGGCTAGTGCCCATCGCGCCAGGGGTAGCGTCGTGCTTGATGGCGCTCATGTTGTGTGAGTCGCTCAAACTTGCGTAGGCGGGGTCAACGTAGAGCTTCATATCACAGTCGTTGTCGGTCACTAAGAACGTGATATTGACAGCCGCAGTCTAGCCTGTTCAACCACCGCGACCAAGGGAATAAGACTTCCCTTGACCGCAACGCTCGGGCCTCGGCTGCTGTCATAAGGCCACCTCATGCCTGCGTTGATTTCGCTGTAAACGCAGCCACCTTTTCAAACTGCTCGGACCAAGCACCTCCGATGGACTGCGTCCTAAAGTGCCACGTCGCTATGGCACCAACCACACACTGGGGCGTCGACGGGGCAAACTGCTGCGGCTTTTTTGCATCGACGCCAACGTTACTGCATAGCACAACCGCACGGTGTACAACGCTCGGTGAGCACGAAAAACTCTCAGCGCACGTTGAAGTGGTGTATGGCCCCTGGGCTCGCTGCGGCGCCATATCGGCGGCTTGGCGGTCGGTAGTATGCTACTTCTTGCCCAATGTGCCGCGTGTAATAAACACGTCCATTGTGTCAAGATCTGGCGGTATCCGGTCGGCGTATTCGGATCGCTTTCGCCATGGACCGCGTGTGGCACGTCGCCTTGCTCGCGTCCATGAGCGCTGTCACACTCTTTGCGCTGCAGCAGAAGCGGGAGAAGAGGCGCACAGCAGCCGCGCCAGCCCGCGCGACGGCCAAGGCCAAGGCCCCGCCCTCCGTGCACCACATGGAGCTCTCGATCGCGGGGTCCTTCTCGCACAATGGGCTCTTCACGCAAGCGCTCGCCATCTACTCGCGCCTCCTCGCGGCGTCGTTGGCCGAGACGCCGCGCCGGCGCGCCCACATTAGCCACCTCTACGACTTGCGCTCATGCGTCTACGAGGCCCTCCAGCAGTTTGAGTGCGTCATCGCCGACACGACGGCCGCGCTGGCGTACGATCCGAGGTCCGACATGCGATTCGTTGCGTTTTGCTCACACGTACTTCTTGAACGTAGCTCGAGCGACTTGTACTTACGGCGAGGCATTGCGCACGCGCATTTACACCGATATACGCTCGCGCTCTGCGACGTCTTGTCGGCGCTGCACCACGGACGGTCGCCCGAGGACCTCCGCGACATGGAAGAGATGTTGCGGGCGCTCGAGCAAGAAGCCATCTTTTACGAAGCGCGCGACGCGCTCCAGAACCGCCGGGCAGCGCGCTGTCTGCCCGACGACTACAAGGTGCAAGCGTACTTTGATCTCTTCCACGGTCGGGACGTTGACGACGCCTTTGCCACGCTGCTCCACCGCGTGTCCCTCGACCGACACGTGTCCGACGGCGCTGCGTGCTTGCATGCAGCCTTGGAGCATCGGCGACGTGGGCATTTCCTCGAGGCATGCGACCAGCTCGAGCGCGCCCGGTCGCTATTGCCATCGACCGACGCGCTCTCGGTCGTTGCGGACCTCGAGCACGCCAGCTACCTCCATCTTCGCCACTGCTACGACGAGGCAGCCACGGTCTTGCAGCACTGCACCTCGCGTCTTCCCGCATCGCTCTGGATACAGGTACACTGTCCTCCAGCTGCAGACATATATAGTGCGCGGTAGGCGCACCGCTTCCACAACTGTATCGTCCGACGCGACCGGTCCGGCGCGCTGCTTTTGCTCGCCGCTGTCAAAGCGACGTCGCCAACGCTCATGTATCTGCAAGGGCTCTACCACGCGACGCTGAGCGGCGACGGTGCCCATGCCGTCGCATCCTGGACCGCGGCGATCACGCTCTCGCCCGAGTACGTCGCGCCGTACTATGCGCTGAGCCAACACTATTTAAAGAGCGCGACGATCGCCGCGCACTCGGTGCTGCACCAGTGCCTCGCGTGGTACTTTCTCTACGTCGACGCCGCGCCGCCCGCGCTCACGTGGATCCACCTCGGGCTCGGGCACTTTGAGGCCGCCATGGGCCGCGACGCGACCTCGTGCTACGAAGCGAGCTTGAGCGTGAGCCCTGCTTTTGTGCCTGCGTACCTCGCCCTCAGCGAAGCGCACCGTGCGACGTATGAAGTCGCGCAGGCCTACTTGATGCAGGCGCTCGTCTACACGCGCAGCGCGTCGCCGTGCATCCTCCTCGCGCAGCTCCGCAGCGAGAAGGGCATGTGGGCGCACGCCGTCGACGCGTGCGACCACGCGCTGCAGTACGCGTGGAGCTACCCCGAGCTCTGCCAGGTGTTTGCCGTCCGCAACATTGCCGCTGCCAACGCCACGCGGGCGTAGTCGGCAGGCCGGTTGAAAACCAGTGTACCCTACCCCTTGTACGCTTCCTTGGCCCGTGCTATGTTGCCACCAGCCACGTCCGCAGCACCCCATCGTCAAGGCCAACCCCGTCTTGATACATTGAAAGATATATATATATATAATCGACCTTTTCGTGTCGGCAGAATCCAATAGCGACACGATTATTTGATATGGTTGCTGTGCTGGAACGCGGGCACGTGCTGCTGGATTTGCTGGTACGCGTCGTCCTTCCCATATCCCTCGAGGATCTCGAGCGTCTCTTGGATGAGCGCCTTTGTCATGCTGTCGCCCGTGCCCAAGTGCTTGTCCTTGAGGAGGTTGCAGAGTGGCAGGATCGACCGGTAGTATTCAGAGAGCGCCTCGCCCACGCCTACTTGCTGCCTTTACCTTTGTCAACATAGCTTTGGATGGACCTTGGCAGACGGCGAGCTGCTGCAGTACGAGGAGCGTTCGGTGCACGACCTCCTTGTCCCGCGTGCCAAGCGCGCTCTTGACATGCGGCATGAGCGCCGCCAGCGCGCGGAGGACGCGCGTGTCGCCCATGCCATGCTCGAGCAACTCCATGCACGCTCGGTAGGCGAACGTTGGGTATGGCTCGAGCGTTTCCTAGTGGCCGCGCGTCGTGAGCGCAAGCTACCGGAGTGTAGAGGACCTGGAGCCCCGAGAAGCAAATCGGAAGAAAATGCTGAAAGTCCAACGCTTCAAGAGGCG